CAAACATCTACCAAACTCAAGGCGCGTCAGCTTTAATTAAATGAAACAATAAAATAAATTAATTAAATAAAAATAAATACGCTTTTAAATGTTTCAATAACGTTTTAGGTCGTCTTTTTCAAGACTGCTTTATATGCCACGTAAGACTGTCGTCTCTGAACTGAGGATTTACATTATTATGTGTGAATTTCAGGTGGATTTCGCATTTCATTTAAATAGCAAAACCTTTAAAAAAAATCTGTTACAGTGCCGGTGGGAATTATATGTGAACTGACAGATTGCGACAGCCTTTAGTCTATTTGATATCGAATTTGTCGAGCATTCCCTTACTTCCTTAATTATCAGGTTTTTCCTGAAAACTCTACTGAAGACCCACACGGGTTTTACGCGTGAGAGACTCTCTTTCGGCTCTTTTGAGCATTTTTAAAATTCCCCCTGAATTTACACAAAATTACTGATGCCAAAAATAGCACCCGCATAAGATTTTAATGTATCAGAGCCATCTGCATATATAAAATAGCAGAGTACAAAAACATCTACGCTTGACGCATTCGGCGTATATATAACGGCTTGCAAAATCCGAAGAGGATTTGATAATTGGAGAATTTAAACGTTTATTGCTCAGATGAGTGATACATTTGGACAGGTTACAGCAATGCCATTTATTTGACGATTAGTTACTACATTCGTTGGTAGGTAATTTATGATCGCTTGGACATTAATAATTCGATTTAAATAATGACCCCGAGTACACGTCAATCGGCTACAATACATCAAAAGACCTACATGGCGCCACTTTCGTAACGTACATGTATATTAAATGGAATCACACTGCGCCCAAGCAAAGCTCAAAATTATTCTAACCAAGAATTCTAAAAGGTGTATTCAAGATAAGTTCGAAAATATGTGCAGACAATGCAAACAGTAGCAGCAGATACATAAAATTTAATAGATTTCACAAAATTCTTATGAACGAATGCCACAGGCGGCGATCGATACCGGCGGCAGCTTCTATGCAGGCAGCTAAGAGTAAATAATAAATTATACGCGGACGAGGCAAACACAAGAATGCATGAAAAAAAGAACAAAAGGAATATTCCGTAACAGTCCATAAGTGACTAGAATTTCTGTGTTAAATAAATGATTTTTATGTCAGAACGGGGAGAAATTCATGGTGTTTGAGTAATCGACAAAAGTTGTTTTCACAAGAATCTTATTATCTTGAATGACGATGATATTGAAACATAACTTAAAACCGTCCAGATTTAACACCCTACATAACAGAGAAAGTATTATCAAAACTCGCTGAAAGGTTCTCGAGTTTTCATAGGTAATAAAGACAAATCGTTTTCAGTAACGCGAAGTAGCAAAATCGTATATAGAAAGGGATAAAAAGTAAATTAGTTACCTATTCGATATGTCGAATCATTTTGTAACTTTTCCATCAATATGTATCAGTCAAGGAAAACCGTACTGACGACGAAACTTATTTATACGATGTAAGAACTTTTTATAAGCAAGTTCATTCGAGAAGAAGAAGGATGATTTTACCATGTGGCACGATATCGTAATGAGCTGATGTTATTTCCTTTTCATTTCTTTAAAGTTTGTAGAAACTTTTTGTGGTTTGGTACAAAAAACATACAAAGCGACAATGCCAATAGAGATTTTGAGGAGAATGAATATTTACAAAAAAATACATATAATGAGGACTGAGAAGGAAGCATTTAAAATGTGTTTTCAACGAATACAGAAGTTGAAATACAGTAAAAGCTCTTTATTCGCGGGGTATACGTTCCATAAATATGCCGCGAATACAGAAACCGTGGATATGGAATGGTAATTAGTATGGAATCATAGGGGATACGTTCTAAGGTTTCAAAATAAAACCAATATGTATCAAAATAAAATCAATGTACTGATAAATTCGCAATTAAAATTAATCGTTATAATCAGCTTTAGGTAAGTTTGAAAAATTTAGTGTTTTTTTCTTGTTTTGAATTTTGAAATTAGTCCACTCGGTTACATATTTTATAAAAGTCGCCTCGGCATAAGCCAATAGTGCTCAAAAGAGGCTGATACGTTGAAAAATAACACCGAATCCTTTTCTATTCAAAAGATGCCGATACGTTGGTACAAGCGCCATAGAGTAAGAACATGCTTATCGGTTCTAGATATCATGAGTTTAATATTTAAAACAGAGGTTTGAAATTTTGTAGTAAGATAAATACAGCTTTGTTTTAAAGCTTGTCGAAGGGCATTTCTTAATTTTTTAATTTCTATTGAAAATACGTGTCCTACAAGGAGCATCAACTTTAAGCACTTGTAAAAGCTTTTAATGACCATATTATTGGAAACCAAAAACGTACCGAGTTAGTGTGAACCTTTGTCTGCTACCATACAAAAAATTAGATATTTATCTCGCAGCGTTAAATTACAATGTTTAGAATAGAAACCCATGTTTTCGAAAAAATTCACACTAGGCACGAGCGGTCTATTGCGCTCAATCCCCTTAATAAATGACACCGAATCCTTTTCTGTTTACCGATTGCAACCGCGAATAATGAAAGCGTGAATAAGGAACTTTTACTGTAAATTATTGGTATTTTTCGCTATTAATAGATTAATATCTGACAGTAACTTTTGTCCAAAAGGCCGATAAATGTTCGGCAGAATTACATTTATCGCTTCTAACTACCTATTCCTGATATAGTTTGCCTTCGAATGGTAATTTTGTCTAATTAAAAGAGTCATATTTAATGGCAGAAGCAAGCAAAAAAACCACTACCGATCTAATTACCGGCAGTCGCAGTTAAAAATGCCGTAGACTAATTAGCAAAGGCTATCTCAGACTAACGTACATTAAATCTACTGCGGGGTAGTTAGAAATTTGAAATTAAACACAACGAAGAAATATAAAAAGACAAAATGGCTAATACAACTACACCAACCCCGACTTACCTTAATCGTTAAATAAACGCTAAAGCAGAAAGAAAAATAAAAAACAACGAAGAACAGAATCGAACGACCATATTTTCCAAACTTCGTAAATATCATTTACCCTTCTTATAGATATTTTTCTACCCTGTCACGCGATATCGGACGAAAAGGAGAATAAAAAAAAAAACAATTTCGAAACCAAACAAGCAATAGCCTATCACGCAACGAACTGTCCTCTAATGAATATTACATTTGTTATTAATAATACATGCTACTGCAGACGATGATATGAATCTAACGAAAACGGTGACCCCAAGAAAAAAAAAACAGATAGCCTGAAAATTAGTTACATAGAAAAGAACAAAAAGTAGGTTATGTATGTATGTATGTAATTTGGATTTCCAATTTTTACTTGATAGACTTAATGTACGCGGAAATTGCTTCTACAAAAAGAAAGCCCAATTGAGTAGGTCCCAGATACTAACGTTTTTTTCCACAAGCAATATGTCTTTAGAACAAGTTTTAAGGGAGTATAGATCAGTTAAAGGCGAAAACATACACCCACATTAAAGAAGAGGCCAGTATTTTAATTATTAGAACATAACACTTTGGCAAAAACAGTTATCAAGATCATACTGTTTTTTGGGAACGCTGTTGTTACTCCTGTATCAGAATCAATTAAATTCCTTTGCATTGCTTCACTGTTATTTCTACGACAGCCAGTATGTTTTCAGAACGAGGTTGAAGTGAGTACGCTCGAGCTGATGATGAGTACACAATTACTAGAACATACATAACCGATGGCAAAAGTAATTCAGTAGGATAATACTTCCTTTTTGAACACTACTGTTACTCCTGAGCTACCTTGACGATCAAAATTCTCTTTGTATACCCTTTCGCATTTTAGAAACTGATTCAGTTCCTTTACATTCAAAATGAAACTATCAATCTCTTACAGGATTGTTGAGTAGTCTGGACTTAAGTTAACGGATTGTTTTTACGTTCTTTTGCCGTGGCAAGATCTTCGTCAGGCTGATTTTTCGATTTAAAACTACCAGTGAAGTATTAGAAGAGCAGTTTCCGCGATCAGTTGAAAAATTCACAAATCATTTCGATGGAGCGGGGCTGCTGCTCCAAGATCGCCGCGTGTTCATCCAATTTCATGCTAAGTTAGGAAAACGACCTAGTTTTAAGATATCCATATATGCATTAGTATGTATGGAAAATTCATTTAAAAAGGTTCGTATAAACCGTACGTGCCGAACGTATAATACATGGACGTTAGGTAAGGAGTATATTACCTATATCAAAAGTTAAACGTACCTACTCGACGTTTAATGAAATTTTCAGCAAACAAAAGTCGGATAGGATTTTTAAAATTATTGACAGATTGTGCTCTTATTATTATTTTCTCGGAAAAGTACGTAACACTGTAGAATTTTAACGACGCAAAAACCAAAGAAGTTATTGTTCCCCTTTTTCGGCCCCCAAAATATCCCTTATTTTAACACATAACTACAAGCTCTTTAATCATAAGTAAAGTAATGACTTTACTTTTAAAACCCTTAACTTAAACCCCTCTTCCCTACTTCCTTTGATATAATCGAAGTTCTACATCCTGTCCAATTACATCGAAAATAATAAAGATTTATAAAATTGATATTTCCTAGATAATCTGGGGACCGATACCTATACATAGGACAGACGGGCAGATCATTCAATTAAGTGATCAAAGAACATATTATAAGAATTCTAAATAACTGCACCTCAATAACACAAAAAAATGAAAATGAGCCAAGGTTCTTGTGCCCATTTAACTTTTCAAATGAATATCGTAAAACGACTCAACCTTTTGTCAGTTTTATTATAGTCTCCATATCAACAATCAATTTTGGATATTCGTTACAGACACAGTTCTTATTAGGCATCAATTTTGTTACTAATTACTTTCATGGTTTAAATATACATCTCGCTAAATATCAAGTTCTTTTTGTTTTTTTAATTCAAGACACAGCCACCCTTATTATTTACACATCTGTCACCACCATACAACAACTTACCAGAAATCATTATTCCATCACGATAGCAGTTCGACCATCACTGAGTAACGCGAAGTGCAACCATTACTACCACCACCGTCCATCCGTCTTAGACAACCAACCAATTCAATTACCAGAGGGTGATAATCATGGTCATCGTCCTTTTCAGTCCCGCCAATAGTACCAGGGCGGACCTGCACACAGACAAGAACACCAGTGATCAGCTTCTTTGTGTCTTTTGGATAGTTTTTTCTTTTTTTTTTTAACAGGTCTTTAATTGCTCTTGTATTTGTGCTTGTGGATTCCGTACGTATTGAGAAGAGAAAGAAGAAAGACTGATGACTCACTGACAGGTAAGTTATAATGGAAGTATATTTATAGAGAAAAAAAGAGGTAGGTAAGGTTTTATATAATATAGAGACAGATAGATAGATAGAGAGATAGAGAGATGTGATGTTGTCTTGTCTGTGTGCAGGCCACGCCGTTGTTGTAAAGTAGTGACTGACTATAGTTTCAAATCATGAAGATGAAATATAATTTATATACTGCGAAAGTTTACATTATATACTGATAGTATTTACTTTTGTCAAGGTGACATAGATATATATATAGATATATATATAGTGTGTCTATATTTATTAGAAATATATATTTTCTGCATATGTAATTTTATGTTGTCGTGTGTGAGCCGTGTATATAAAGTAATATTAGTACACAATTATTATCTATATTCAGTATATGAATGATCCTATATATATAATATATTGATTTGCTATTGAATTTGCTGAGTAATTATATTGGGAAACTGAATTTCTGTAGCGGTCACAGATAACTTCAAGTTAATGATGAAAAATTGTTGCTGCTGTTGCTGTACCTCCTTGTAGCTTAGAGATAGATTACTGGCGCGTAAAACCAGGAGCCCGAGTTCGATTCCCGGCAAGGGAATGAAAGCAGTAACAATTTTTCCTCATTAATTTGAAGTTATCTGTAGTAGAATACAATACACTGTAATTATATCATTAAACATTATTATCACAATATTATTCTAACAATAAGTGCATTACTTCTATGTATGTGGCGAGCTTCAGA